TCTTGGCTTGCAAATCTCCCCCTCTGGCTCCTTCTGTCCTGCTGTAAGGAACATGCAGAAAAGGAGAAGCCTTATATGAAATATTCATTTTGGAGGGGTGATCTTCATCCAAGGACCTCAGGTGTTGGACACAAAGGGAGATGATTGAGAGGAGATGGGAAAACACCAGATGTGGGATATTGCCAGTGCTAAGGAGGTGGCACCTGCATGAAGGGCTTTGCCATTGTCAGCTCCGAGCATTCAGAGCTTCTGCCTCCACACACACACAAAAAGAATCAATAGCATCATTTTTGAGAAAGGATTATCTTAAAGAATCCCATGGTTGGGAACTTTTTCATTTGCTCCTGAGCAAAAACCCTCTAGGCTTCTCCTAGCTCACTTTCCCAGCCTGTCAGGGGGTCAAACATGGAGTTAAATGAGAAATCAATCTCATGATTGCAGGAGCCACGGTCCAGAGAGGAAAAACCCAAACAAACCATAAATCATAACAAAAGAAAGTGCCAGCTATTCCCAGGTTCCTGATAACATCATCCGAGGTGGCAACACTGGACTTCATAAAAAGCCTGGCTGAACTTTAGGGTCAAACAATGGCAGCTCTTTGCTTTGTCCGTTTGTCCCCGCATGCCTGGGGAGTGACGCGTGGCTGACCCTGCTGAGGCTCTCTGTGCACGAACTCCTGATCCCCACCCGACCTGCACCAGTCCTGTCTGTCTGAAAATCCCAGCACGGCCTGCCCGGAGGTGGTGGAGCGCTTTCATTTCTGATTTCTCTACACAAAGTGCTGCCCGCCCTGAGGGATGGATTCTCCCAGCACCCTGCAGTTGTGTTGCTCAGCTGGGAGTATGTTCTTGTATATTCCTGACTTTTCTCACCCACTGTGGCCTGTGTGCAGTTATTTTCTGGTCCTGACACTGTTCTAAACTGATCCCTGCAAATCTTCACCAAAGTTACCCTGAAAGATTTTTCACAGACAGCCATAGCAGGGTGGGAATGGAGCCAAATGTGAAGCAACCTGGAATTTCAGGAGTCCATTCCTCAGCCCCTATCCCACAGGAATATTTTTTCTCATTTCTCAGTATTCTATGGAACAGGGTATTTTTCCCTATTGCAGCTGGGTGAAGCTGGGAGCCCCCTGGAAACAATGCAGGGGGAAAGAGTTTGCAGGGAAGATCTTCAGGGAAGACCTCATGTGATGCAATTATTGTGAGACAGAAATTGCAGACACAGCTCAGCCAAAGCAAACTCCCTGTGACAAAAGGGACCCTCTGTCAGCCTGTGGATGAAGTCCCCTGCCAGGAGAAAGACAAGGACAGCCCTCCTGCCATGGTCTTAGCTGAACTGGAGCAGGCTGTGTGCTCCCCTGAGGACACAGGTGCTGGTGGCTCAGCTCTGTCCCTGGACACCTCCAGAGTCACTGTCACTTTTCTTTCTGCTCTGCTATTCTCAGGAGCTAATGAACAGACTGTCCATGTTGAGCCAGACTTGAGAGAGGCGTCCCAGAGGGAGATTTCCTCTTGCAGGCTCGGGAGAATTCAGGCTGCTGTAGGGAGAGACCTCCTAAGTGCCTCTGCTGAGGGCTGCGTGAACAGCACTAGATGCTGGTGACTCCACCTAGAATCGTTTAGGCTGAAAAGGACCTTAAAGATGGTTGAGACCACCTGTAAGAAGTGAGTCCAACATGAAGCAGCACAGCCTGAAACACCCCCCACCAGAGAAGAGCTTTAATTGAACCTCTGGCTCAGTGTGTAAAGCCAGTCTGTAAGGAAACCACTGTTGGCACCTCTGAAACTACTTGTGTTTATTTGGCTGATGATTTGAAGCTACAAAGGAGCTTTTGTTGGTCCCTGCTTGTCACTAAACGGTCTCTGGCTCCTTTGGGGGGTCATTTGCACAGGTAACAGCGGCACCTGCCAGGTTCGTGCCCAAGCAGCCTGGCCAAGCTCTGCAGCGCCCGGAGGGGAGGAAATTCCCGATTCCCAAAGGCTGCAGAGAGGGGAGGAGCTGCGGGGAGAGCAGGAAAAGCATCGGAGTGTCCCGGCAGGAGAGCAGCACCTGTGAGGTCGGGGAGAGGAGCAGGACAGGAAGGGTTTGGAGAAGGGAGAAGGCTGAGCAGTGGCCAAGTTAACCCTTCCCATGCTGGCATTTTCCAGCAGCGAGCCAAGTGGCTGCTCGGGAAGATGGATATAACACATGTCTGCAGTCTCCAAAGGGTTATTAACTCTGCAATAATGGCCATGAAACTTGGCTTCCTCGTCGTACATTTAAAGTTGAAAAAGAAAAAAAAAAAAAAAACCAAAAAAACCCCCAACAAAAAACAAAAAAACCCCACCCCAACACCAGTTTCAGAGGGGGAGAGGGCTTGTTTCCTAGGAACTGCAGGGCCAAATCCACCTCTGTGATGGTGAGAGGAGAAATCCTTCCTCCCCACCGGCTGGGAGCAGGGGAGCAATGCAACCACCACAACAGGACCACAGCCCCCTCCTGCCACACACCCCTTATCCTTATCAGAAACAATTTCAAGGCCTTTCTGAAAAGTCTGTGGTGTTCAATTAACTTTGGGATTTGGATTCAAGAAACACACCAGTGCTGCTCCTAAGACAGATTCCTCTTTTGTTGTTTGGGTATCACTGTGGGGCTTGTCCCTCGCTCCTGGCTCCAGCCCTTGGCAACACTGAGGCCTGCCTGGGATGTTGCCCCTGTCCTGGGGTTTGCAGCCTCTTGGGCTCCTGTCCAAATGCTCTGGAAGTCTGGGATGCTCCACTGGGATTATCCCTGCTCCAGTGTAGTCTGTGCCAGCCAGCCCAGCCACTGAGCAAGTCCTTCCATGCAGTAAGTTACAGACTTCTCTTTATTGGTGCCTCTCTTCCCCCACACTATTAAATTTATTCTTTCTCTGTATTGTTATTATTTTTCTGGCAGAGGACTTTGGAAGGTGGGAGAAAGGATCTACTAAAAAGTCAAACAAATCTAAGCCCCCTCGTCAAACCCTTTCGAGGCACCAGCTCCAGTCCCTCAGCAAATGAAGTCAGCTGGTGGTCTGGGTTTAAACGTGGCTGTTGAGGGCTCAGGCCAGGTTTGGCAGCTCACAAATCAAATTGCCTCGTGGTTCTCAGGAGCAGAGGATTGCCACGGGTGGAGGAGCTGTGGGGGAGCTCTGCCCCATTCTGTGCCAGCCGGGGCCCTGCCCTTGGAGGGAGGCACTGAAATCTTTGGTTCACAGCAGGTCAGGAGGGAAATTCAGGCTCTGAGGTTTTGTTTTCCATGTTATGTTACACTATTGACACAGAGCAAGGCAGCCCCAAACTGAGATTTTTTCTCACTTGAATGGGTCCGGGCCAGTCCCTTTGCTTTGGTAAATTCTTATTAGGGGCAGAGTGAAAGAGAGAGTGGGAAACACAGAGCTATTAAAACTCATCTGATCTCATGTTAATAAAGAATTTGAGCCACGGGTCTTGGCTTACTCTGATTTCGCCTGCTGGGAGCTGCTTGCAGGTCCCCAGTTTTGCTCTTGCTGCTGACCACAGGTAACACCCTCCAGGTGCCACCCCACTGGAGGGATGCGGGGCACTCCTGAGGCCACAGCAGGAGGTGGGACATGCTTTTGGGCAGGGCTTTCTGAGGTGCTACACCGGCCCATGGTGTCCATGGGGTGTCCCTTGGTGCCTGGAAAAGCACAGCCAGCAGGGTGAAGAGCTGGAGGCAGCTCTGAGATTCTGGCTCTCAAACAGCCTCTCTCCTTGTGCGGGAGCAGCTCGCTGAGAAAATGTGGCTTTTGCTGCCTGTTCAATGCCTGGAAGAAAGAGAATGGTGTTAAGGTGCTCATGTCTCTTATCAGTCCCGTTCCCAGCTCCAAACATTTTTTTCTCAGCACTCCCCCAGTGCCTGCCCTCCCTGGGATGAGCATCCAAACCTAATTCCCCTTGTTTGCAACTCAGAGCCATTCCTGCTGTCAGTAGGGCTCTGGACAATTCTCCAATTCTCGTGGAAGTGCTGCGGGGAGATCTGCCAGAGTCATTCACACTCTTTTATGGGTCTTCCTTTGAATTCTTCTACAATTTCAGGAGCAAAGTTGCAGATTTTTGCAGAAGTTTAAACTCTAGGACACTGCTCTGCTGGGCCACCACAATTTAAAGCTGCTAACAGGTTGGGTCTTGACTGCTTTCCATGACTCAACCACGCCAGGAGCACAGGATCCCATCCAAAGCCCACCAAACACAGCGGAAACCTTTCTGCTCTTGGAAATCACGCTGCTGCTTTCAACAGCCCCTGTCAAAGCGAGTTCTCCTGGTCCCTGCACAGCTCAGGACACGCAGGATGTGTCCCAGCCAGGTGGGAAGGAACTCCAGCGGCTGCAGAACCGCAGTGAAAATGGGAATTGATAGCAAAAATGCATTTTTATACCTCTTAATCTTTATACACTTTTTTTCTTATTTTCATCCACACAATGACTGAGTATGTGGGATCATTGCCCAAAATCTGTGTGTCCATATTCTGTGGTCTGGGGATGACCCTGCTGGAGCAGCGATGTTTGACCAGATGTCCCTCTGTGGTGCCTTCCAACCTAACCCATTCTATGATATAGCCAACCTAATCTTTTCCCTGATCTTCCAAGCCCTGGCACCTGCGGCTGGGACTGGGAAAGGAATGGTGACTTTCTCAAGTGAGCCGCCCTAATCGTGTCTAAGTTCAATTAGTGATGAGGAAAAGGGGAGGAAGGAAACACGACGGGGCTGCCTAGCGGCGGGATGCCGCCCTTTAGATCCCTAGACCCAGCCCGGACGTTCCCGGTGGCTCCGCGGGTCCGGAACCGGCCCCGGCTCCCGGAGCGGCCCCGCGGCTCCCTCACGGCCCGGGCCGGGGCAGGAGAGGGCGCCCCCTACCGGCCGCCGTGCCCACGTGCGTTCCCCCCGCGCGGCTCCGCCNNCCGGGGGGCGTGGCCGGGCGCGCGCCGCGGCGATCCCCGGTGCCGAGGGCGGGCAGGGCGCACTCGGGCCCCGCTCCCGTCGCTGCGCTGCGCGCTCGGCCCCGCCGCCGCACTACCATGTTTGACGGCTGCCTCCTGCCCCTCGTTGTGCCCTGCCTGCTGCTCTGCGGACTGGACGCCGGCACAGGTAGCGCTCCCTGCCGCCCCGGCTCCCCTTCCCCGGCGGCGCTGACAGGGTCCGGTCCCGGACGGCAGCGTGCGGGCGCGGAGCGCAGGGCACGCACCGCATCCCCTGCGTGGCCGCGGTCCCGGCCCGCGGGATGAATTGCTGCAGGCTTTTGTATTTTCTTTTCCTGTCCTCCCGCTGCTGCTGTAGCGTTCCATGTGGAAAGCTGCTGACTGTCCTTGGCTGCTGCTGCGGCTCGCTCTGCTTTTCCCCTTCTCCCTGCAGATTTTTATTGGGGTTGGTGAAATGCGATGCTTGTGTCTGAGCTATATATATATATATATTTAGTGATACAAGTAGCTTTGGCGTTTGCTCTGTTCCTCTCTTCCCTGCACGCTTCTGTCTCTAATATATGTGTGTATAGAGAGAAATAAATCGCCGTGCTCCGCTGGCTCCATTGTCTGCGCAGCCCGTTCAGGGTTTCCAGCGCGGGGCTGTCCGCACTGAAACCCGAGCGCGGGGCTGTCCCGGGGAGCGGGGGGTGCCGCAGCCCCCGGCCGCCCCGTCGGGCCGCGGCTCCGGGGTGCGAGCGCCTGAGCCTCTCTCCTTCTCGCCTGCAGCTGGCGGAGCGGAGCTGGAAGTGGTGATCCCGGAGCGAGTGCCGCTGGAGAAGATCCACCTGCTGCCGCCCGGAGGGGATCGCTGCGGCCCCCGGCGCCGGCGGGCAGCGGCGGAGCAGGAGGAGGAGGAGGAGGAGGCTGTGCTGCTCCGCCTGCCCGCCGCCGGCGCAGAGCTGTACCTGAACCTCCGCCGCGACCTGCGCTTCCTGGCCCGGGGCTTCGCGGTGGAGCGGCGGCGCGGGGAGGCGCGGCGGCCCCCGCGGGAGCGGCTCTGCTTCTACTCGGGACACGCGCTGAACCGCAGCGACTCCTTCGCCTCCCTCAGCACCTGCGCCGGGCTGGTACTGCCATCCCACCCCGCTCCCCTCCTCAGGGCTGGCACTGCCATCCCGGCCCGCTCCCCTCAGGGTTGGCACTGCCATCCCGCCCTGCTCCCCTCCTCAGGGTTTCCCGGCCCGCTCCCCTCCTCAGGGCTGGCACTGCCATCCCACCCCGCTCCCCCCCTCAGGGCTTCCCGGCCCGCTTCCCTCCTCAGGGCTGGCACTGCCATCCCACCCTGCTCCCCTCCTCAGGGCTGGCACTGCCATCCCGGCCCGCTCCCCTCAGGGTTGGCACTGCCATCCCACCCTGCTCCCCTCCTCAGGGTTTCCTGGCCCACTCCCCTCCTCAGGGCTGGCACTGCCATCCCGCCCCGCTCCCCTCCTGAGGGCTGGTGCTGCCATCCCGATGAGGCAGGATGCCTGCACTTCACCTGCCCTCAGCGAGGTGACCCTCCTGTCCCCTCAGCTCTCGGGCCCTGCTGAGCACCGCTGTCCCATGGTGGGTGTCCTGCCCACCCTGGCTGTCCCTGTGGAGCTGCCTCAGCCATCCCTGAGGGGCCTCAGGCCCTGCAGTTCCATTGTGGGTGGGCAGCAGAACCCAAGGGTGCTGTGGAGGAGCGTCCTGGTGGAGGGAACATCTTGTGTCACTGTCCCCAGTCATGGGGCAGGTGGCTGTGTCCTGCTGGGGTGATTTGGTGCCATCCTGGCCTGATCCTGTGGTAGCTCTGCAGCTCAGGCTCCTGCCATCAGTGTTGGCATGTTCTCTGGGAGCTGTGGTCAGGGAGCAGCCAGTGCCCCAGCACAGTCACATCCCACTCAGGGGAGCTTTTCCCACCACAAGTGTCCGGATTTCTCTGCCTGAGGCTGTGGTTTCAGGTGGTTCTGCAGGGCTGGGCTCTCCTCTGAGCATCCTGGTTGGAGCAGGTGATCTGTGGGACAGAAAGTTTCTCGGTGATGGAGAATGAAATGCTTAAGACATTGAGTAGTTTGCAATTATTGTTGATAACTTTTAAAGTACTTCAGGAAGTCAGCGGGGCATTAGGCAGTGATTCCCAGCAGATGTCCTGGGAGGTGTGCCAGTCAGAACAGACCTGATGATGGAGATTTATCCTTGAACCGTAGTGAGAACCAGTTCATGCTCTGCCCTCGGAGCTCCGGCCTTCGTTCCGGAGCCGTTTGAGGGCGCTGTGCCTCAGGATTAAAAAAACCCCAGCAAACAGAGATGCTGAGGTCTGAGTGGCACTGGGAGTTGAGCTGAGTTCCACCGAGGGCAGCTTAGAACTAATATCTGTAGTTCAAGCCTTAAATCACTAACAGCTCTATGCTTTTGCCACCAGGCGTGTTTTGTTAGTCTTGCTGGGCTTCCAAAGCTGGAAAGCACAAACAAACAGAGGAGGAACCTTTAGAAAAAGAGGAATGTAGTTGTAGGCACAGCATTAACTGCCTGAGATCAGGGAATGGAGGAGGGAGTGAAAAAGCTTGGCAAAATTCCCAGTAGGAAAGCTGAAAAAGAGACAAGACTAGTTAGGATTTGCTCACTAGTCAGCAAAAGCGAACAGCAATATTGCAGTACCTGTTTGGATCATGGCACCTCTAAGCAGTGGCTAAATTGACATAACTGGGCTGCATCAGCCTGGGATCAGTGTGAAAGCTGCTGGATTGTGCCAAAGCCCCTTGTGTTAGTGACAGTGTTGGTAAAGCTCTGCTTGCCTTTGCCTGTGCACCTGGTCCTGGCAGTGCTGGGAGTGCTGTGGACAGGTGTGTTGAGAGAGAGGTGTTTCTGCATGTTGGGATTCTCCTTTCCTATTAGAGGAATCCATTCATCCTCTTCCTTCAGATAATCACCAGGAATGGGAAAGGGCTAAAAGCAGGTGCATGGTACATTTGAGTGAGTTAAAGTTAAAACACCCTTGTGAGCTCAGAACTAGAGAACAGAACACCAGTGTCTTGAGGATTAGCCTGAACTTAAGATGGATGAAACTAAACTTAAGATGAACCTCATTAATTATTGAAAGGTTTCATTGAAATAATCCATAGCACCATGTAGATGAACCTTCTTGTTTTAGCTGAGTAGACCATTCTGGGTTCTTAAGTCTGTCTTTAAACATGAAACATCTCACATTTTAGGCTGTTTTCAGTGTTTACACAGGCTTTTGCAGTGGCCACACTAAACCAGCATCCCTGTAGTGAAAGCTGTCTAATGCAGTGGTAAGATGTTTTCTGGGATCAGGGGAATCAAAAGTTTGCCCCAAATTGTCTAGGAAGTCTTTAATCTGCCATGAGCTGACCTGAGTGCAGGTGACTCTAGAGCCCCAAATTTTTTGCCTTCTAGTCTGGCAATTTAATACTAAGACCATCACTTAAAAAAAAAAAAAAATTCACATTGCTTTCTTGAGCCCTGTTTGCTGCAGGAAGAATAAAGGTTTGCCCTCAGCAGCAGCTTCACAGGTGGGACATGAGCCAGACCTGCTGGAAAGACCTGGGTAGTGGAAACCTTGCAGCCTGTTTGTCCTGGCATTTGTCTTGTGAGCAGTTCTAGTGCATGGGGGGGTTCCTGAAAATTCCATCAGGGAATGCTCATTGGACTCTAGCTGGGTGATCAGGACATCTCCTTCAGGAAAGCTGGTTGCTAAGAAGTAGAGTGGGCAATAATGCTGGGTCCTGGTCTCCAGCTGGCTCAGGCCTTGCTGTAATCATATTCTGAGCCATGCCATAAATCATACCAAAAGTGATATAAAATGATCAGGGCAAGTGGAGTTCTAGTAAAAACAAAATCCCTGACACAGTGGCACGAAAACTGAGCTGCAGCCAGGCTGAGCAATTGCTTCCTGGTGATGGTCTCAGATTCCCAGCGTGGCATCTGAAGGTTGGGGTCTGGTTTTTGAGCTCTGCTGGCAGATGCTGCTGGTTAAGCAGTGTGTGGCTGCTGCAGTTCCTGCTTTGGGAAGGGTGGCGAGCTCTGTGAGGTCAGAGTGAGGCAAAAACTGCTCTGCCCAAGCTCTCACCATGGAGCTACAGCTACAGTGCCTCGTGTGAGGATGCTCCAGCCCTCCTGTTCCTCGTGACGGGCTGGGAATTCAGCCTAGCAGAGGCACAGGGTTCCTGGAAAGTGCTGCTGCCTTCCCCTTGGCAGCACTGGCCTCTGGGGAGTGCAGCTGTGCCAGCACTTGGATTCTGGCCACAGCTCGGGGCTGCCCTGCCCTTCCCTGCTGCTGGGCACTCACAGGCAGCTCTGCAGCCCCCAGGGACCATCACCAGAAGACAGCAGCCAGTACAGGAACTTTGTTTTTTGGGAAGTTCCAGCTTTGTAAGGCCACAGTTTAGTCACTGTCACATGCTGAAGTGCTGGACTGCAGCATCGGCCCCTTAGAGCAGGTGTAGGCTTTTCATACTTGTACCTACATTTTGGAAACAGTTACAGTTTTAAGAGTCCATGTCAAAATAAGCACTATAATTAGAAATGGAAGAAAACCATTGAAAACTGTTCAGGAACCAAAAGGTGACAATCACTGGGATGCATTTAGAGGCAGAGGTTTGATTCTAAATGACTTCTCTTCCATTTCAAAATCCAGAGTCTTTGATCTAGGGTTCAGGATTGCTCTTTGTCTTGTCTCTAAATAAGGTGGCTTATTCTTCTCAGTTGAAGTAAGAGAAGAGTTTGTGCCTCCCTCCTGTTCAGGTTAGTTCATGTAACATTTTCAGAGCCCACTTTTGTCTCCTTTGAACTTCCTTGTGTAGACTGGATTAGTGGAAATGGATGATGCACATTGCAAAGGCTCATGGAGTGAGAACAGTAATTTTTCTCTTTGTAGGGTGGAATAGACTAATTGAAACTACACCTTAAGAGATGCACACTGGATGTTGGAAAAACCTAAATATTTTGTAGTAATGTCTCATACAATCTACTCAGAGAAGAAAAGGGCTTCTTTTCTTCCAAGACTTGTGTACATTTGCCTTTAAACTTTCTGCATCTCATCTTCCAGCCTGTTAAAATATTTCTGAATGGTGGCTCTTCATTCAGGTGTGTCCTGTTCACTTGGGGCCATCCATAAACTTTGTGAGGGTGTAGATGCAGACAAGTTGATAAGAGCATCCATCTGGACTTCTTCCTCTAAGATCTCTGGAGTCCCCTGGTTTCCAGGTGGGTGTAAGTGCCTTGCAGGACCTGGGTGTCCTGCTGTGGGTTTGGATCCTGTCTGGAAGGGCAGAGCTGAGCAGGTTGGACTGCAGCCTGCAGGGAATGAGCAGTAACTCCAAGGACTCCTGGTAGAACAGTAAATCTGCTCTGTCCTTGGGAAGAAGAGGAACAAGGATGCAGAAGAGGCTGCAGTCTGGCAGGGTTAGGCCAGCCTGCAGTGTCTGGGGCAGGTGAGTGATGAAGATGAGCACTTCCCTGATGGCTGACCCTGTGCCATAGGTATCTTAGGCTGGTGAATTGCCAGTTTCACTGCAGAAGGAGCTGGTGCCTGGTTCAGAGCAGATGCTGCAGCTCAGGGAGTTCCAGCCTGGCCAGGGAAGTGTTTTCTGTGTGCATCAGGGCGGTGCTGCCCTTCAGGTGACTCGGGAGCCTCTGCTGCTGTGGGAAGCAGGGCAGAGCAGGCGTGTGGGGATTAAAGATGATACAATTTCCCCTGAGGAAACCTTCAGCTCCACTGAACTCTCCTGTCTGGGAGAGGAGCTGTCTGGCATTCATCCACAGCTGAGCCATGAGCTGAGAAGTTAAACCTCTTAAAATTACTGTGTTGGGTTTCCTTGTGCTGGGATTTTCTTTCCTCTTCCACGAGGGAGAAGATGTTGGGGTTTCCTTGGAGAGTTGGAGGCCAGAGCAGATATTCCTGGGCATGGTCTGGTCTCAGAACTGATGATTCTGGAACAAGACTTAATTTAAAGCTCTTCTTTTCAATTTGCTTGAATTGCACTTTTAAATAATAACCAAGCAAAGCTGAAACATGGTTAATAAGGGTGGGACTAAAACCCACATGAAATTTATTAAACTGTATTTGTGGGTTGTTTTGTTCTTCACTTTAAACATTAACTTCCTTTTAACTTTGAGGAAATGGTTAAACAACGATTTACAGCGTAACAGTTGAGAAATTGAGAAGGGGATGGAATTTGTCAGATGTTTAAATCTGTTCTCTTTTCAGCGTGTTCTATGTATGTAACTAATGAATACTTAGGAGCAAGAGAAAAATCTGTTAAAGATTCAGCATTTCACAGATCTCCTTCAAAGATGTTGTGAAAATAAAAAGGGCTGGAAAAACAGTGTAACTGTTGGAGAGTACTAACATGTGGGAAGGTCGAGAGCCATGTGCAGGGAGCACTGAGAATTTGGATCCCTGTTCTGAGCAAGCCCTGGAGCTGCAGTAGCTCCAGCAGCACTACCAGGGCACAGGGACAGAGCAGTGAAGCCAAGGAGGCAGGATGGGGTCACACAAAGGCTGTGCTGCCACTGTCATTCCAGTGACACTCTCTGAGGACCTTCCTCCTTTCCCTGCTGCCATTTAGCCCAAGAAAAGCTCCACTGGAAGATGATTTGTGGCAGAGGAGTAGTACAAGAGTAGATGACAGAGTGAGATCCCTGCTGCCATTTAGCCCAAGAAAAGCTCCACTGGAAGATGATTTGTAGCAGAGGAGTACAAGAGTAGATGACAGAGTGAGCAGGTTGCTTGAGTGACCCCTGTGTGTGTGAAACCCTGGATAAGAGCACATGGGAATGTTCTGGTGGTGAGCAATGTTGAGCTGACTTCTAAAATAAGGATGTGAAATATCCTTAATGTGAAAGATCTTGCCACTGTTAGGCACAGTGGTGAGTGGGGCTGTAGTGGGAAGTGTGGATTGTTGTTTGTTTTAATCAGCTTGTCAGTTTGCCTGCCTTTGGAGGCTGAAATCATTCCAGCCTTTCCTGTTAGCAGAGCTGCAGGGCTCTGGCAGCTGCATGGTCTGGCCATACCAACTGTAAAATTAATGCAGATGATGGTGAGCTCCTCTGAATTTTTGGGTTCTTGTGTCTCAGGTCCTCCAGGTTGGGCAGCAGCTGCTTTTCCCAAAATTCAGTCCCAGGATCTGGCACAGCAGCAGGTCCTGGACTTCCACAGGAGGAAAAAGATGGGAGGGAGTATCCCAACTTTTGATATTGTGTCTCAGGTCCTCCAGGTTGGGCAGCAGCTGCTTTTCCCAAAATTCAGCTGTCCCAGGATCTGGCACAGCAGCAGGTTCTGGACTTTCACAGGAGGAAAAAGATGGGAGAGAGTATCACAACTTTTGATACGCATTTCCCCAGGCAAATGGGAATTGGCAGATCCAAAGCATTTCACTTAATTGGAATGATTTCCTGAGATGTGGGAAAAGTAGCTCCACGGGTTATGTGGTCTTCTGTTTTACTTCTTATCTTCAAAATCCTTCAAAAGCCTTCTGCAGTCCCTCAACTCAGACAAGAGAACAAGAGCACAGAGCCCTTGTCCAGGGCTGATGTTTGATCTCTCCTGCTGGGATTAGCACAGGACAGGATCTGCAGGGTTTGAGGGATGCAAATGAGGAATCCATTTCTTATGGAAAAAGCAAAATAATGACCAGGCTATTCAAGTTACAGAGTCCAAAAGATCTCCTTTGGGCCAGCAGGACTGGGGACCCTTCAGAACCCAACTGGCAAGTCTGGGGGAATTTTTAACATTTTTAACTCCCTAGGGATGCTTTACAGGCCTGATCCTGCAAACCCTTCCTGCTTGAAACTCTATTTGCCTTGTCAGATTGAGCTTGAGATGCTTCCCAACGTATTCCAGGGTGAAGACTCATGGCCCTTTCTCTCCATAGGTTTCACAATTCCACAGCAAATGTGAAACATAAGTCTTTTCCAATGGTTTAAATTATTTTCACTCTTGATGCCAGAAAATTGGGATAATGTCGGGTGGTGATGAAACTGACTTCTTCTTACATACTTTTGGCACCAGCTGAGATGGTTGGCAGTCTGTCAGGAGCTCTGGTGTGGCTTTTAGTACCATGGCACCAGATTTACAACCCTTCTTCTAAATAATTAAAACCTATATTAAAAAAGGGGGCTGGTGCTACCTCCCAGCTGGAAGATTGGAACAAGGAGGGGAAGTAGTGGAGAGCATCGTAAAGGAGGCTGGAAGAACAGGTCACCAGAGCTTTTGCTGTCTCTGGAGCAATTCTGACAAAGCCCAACTTGTGATTTAAGTGAAAAGGCAGCCCTTTGGACACTCCAGGGCAGAGGGGGTCTTGTAAAGTGGTGAGCATTCTGTAGGGCCTAGGAATAATGTTGGGTTTTCTCTGTATGTAGGAAGTGCCAAGGCATTTCATCCTTAAGCAATTCCCCTGCCCCAAGAGCAAGGTCTCTTTTGTGAGGCCCCCAAAGAGGTGTCTTGTCTCCTCAGAGACAGGGAACTGATTGTCTCTGCTGTGCTTTGCAGCCATGCCCAGTGGAGACACCAACTTTTACAGTTTTCTTTTTGTCCAAGCTCTCTTTGGAAATCAGTGACCCTTCCTGAGACACCCTGAATGCTGTTCAGTCTGTGTGGCTGTCAAAGGAGGAGAGCTCTCATTTCTGCTGGCAGAAATTCCTCTTGCTGGAAATACTGGGCCAAAGGGATTTCCTGGGTGTACGTGAGGACGGGATTTGGCAGGGAGGTGTGGAAATGTGCAATATACAGTATGTATGTAATGTATATTATAAATCATATTAGTGCAGTCAGCTGTTCAACATACAGCATTTGGATGTACGTGCAGAGCATTTCTTTGGAGAGTTGCCTGGCTGGCACAGAGAGTGGAGAGGGGGGACCAGAAAAGTCTGGCCTCTCTTTTTATGTACAGGATGGGTGTTGGAGCTCTCTGGAAGCACCTTTACCTCTCAGGTGCACAATCCTGGCAGACCAGATGAGTCCTTCTGTTGTTAACAGAAGTTAAATCAGACCTCAAGACTTCTCTCAAGGGGGAGGTACATGGCAAAGCTGTGGTTTGAGACTTTTAATTGCAATATAAATAATCACTGGATTAGTGCAATGAAAAGTAAGAGCTCCTCATTGTAAATACTCACTCTGTGTAACATGTTATAACCTCAGTGTTGATTACTAAACCTGGAGGCTTTGTTAAGTTTTAAGGTGATAACTTTGCTTTCACTCTCTTGTTTTCATGCCAGAAAAGGAGTGGAAAAAGCATAAAAGAACCTTAAAAGCTCTGGGTTGTGAGCAGAGGAGGGCTCTCCTGGGGCAGAAGCTGGCTTCCAAAGGTGTTCTTGCCAGCCCTGCTGTAAGGTCTGGACTTGGTGCAAGGAAGGCAGGGATTTAGTGCTCTGACCTGGACCCTGGGGAGTTACTTAGGCAGGGTCTTTGCCTTCCTAGTGTCACTTATTCCAGGAATGGTGGAAAATCCTGACACTGGGACAGTGCAGCAGTCCATTCCTGGCTTTACCTCTGAAACACAACCCATAGCCTGCAGGGAGAGCAGAGCTGACTGTGTGGCCCTTAATGGAGTCGGGAAGAGGTATTTGGTCCCAAAAAATGCAGTGTGGCTTTACAAGTCACACTTGCATCAGTTCACTCAGTGTTCCTTGTGAGGGTGGTACCCACAGGGGCCTCCTGTGTGCAGGCAGTGTCACCTCTGTGCCCTGAGACAGTAAATGCCATTCAATAGCAGGGCAGTCCTGGCAGCTGGAGAGGTGTTTTTGAAGGGATTTCTGTTAACAGGATTTATTTGTCCTCATGTGAGCTGAGCATCTTGTAAAACACACATATTTGTGGGGCTGTGTCTGGAGGGAGAGGAGGAAGGGAAAGCAAAAGTGTTGACAGGAATCCTCACCTTTCCTTTGTGCATGTACAGTGTTTCTAAATAGTTCTCAGTGATATAAAAAATAAATAAGAGAAGCAGATGACATTCTTTAGTCTTATTACACAGGCTGAACACAACCATAATCCCATCATTTCCTCACACTGCAAACCATTGCAGTGAAATGACCTGGGTTTCAGACCAGGCTGGATAGACAAGGCTTGGGCACCAAACTGATGGAGTTTTTTTCCTTCTGTTTTGTGGACAGGTTGGCTACATCCAGCTTGGCTCAGAGCAGCTGCTGATCCAACCTGTGAATGCATCTGAGACCTCGTTCAGTGGGAAGGAACATTTCATCAGGCGGAGACGATCCACCAAGCCCCATCCCTCCAGGCCACAGGGCCCTGAGGAGCACTGCAAGGTTGTAGCAGGTGAGCTTGGAGTGCTTCCAGAGAACAGCCACAGGAATTCTGCCTGTATTTTGTGATTCTGGTGGTTGGGCAGCTGGAGCTGGGCAAGGATGGCAAGTGTGGGTGACTCCTGTTGCTGCTTCAGGCAGGAGTCACATCACAGACATGAGGTTGTCAGGGCATGTGCTGTAACACTGGACTTGTGAGATGATAAATTCTGCTCTAATCTTGCAGTGTGAGCACTGCTCAGGGAGGGATTCACTGGGTTTTTAGCAAAGGTTCAGGTTTTTTAACTGAAGTCAGTGTTGAGGGGACTCTTCCATCTTGCCTTTCCACTGGAGTTGTGCTGAGCAGGCAGGGATAGAATGGTGATCCTCACATTGCAGAGTGTGGAAAACATCATTTCACCTGCTTCGATATAATTTAATCACAAGTATCATCTGTGGAGTCCAACTCCAGGGATCCAGCTCATAGTAGGATAAAGGGATATCTAGAGATGGAAGAGATACAGTTTGTCTTTCAGAGCAATCTGCTTTCTTTTTCAGCTTCTCATGCCATCATTCTTCCTTGCGTAGCAGAGTACACAATCCATATCAGAGTCAACTGAGCAGACTTTGTATTATGACTTCAAATTGCTTTGTAAGGGCTTGTGTGCATTTGGAATTACCAGATGTAGTTCAGAAAGGTGATTTTTTTTTAAACTAGGAGCTTAATTTTGCTTTTTCTACCTGGTGTTTGACTCATCAGACTTAAGCTCTATCTGATAAAACAGCTATTGTATCATATATTAGGATTTGCTATCATTTTTCAAAAGGAAATGGCCAGCTCTGTTCATTGATCATATCCTGTCTTCTTCTACTTTCAAAGCCACACAGACAAATTGCAGGTGATATAAACTATTATTTTGCTTCTTTAGAGCAATTAAATTTTATCATTTCTGGAATTCTCTCTGAATGTGTTGCAGAGGGGTTATTTTTTATGAACTTTGTGAAATTTCTTCATTAGGTTGCAATGTTCCTGTATTTTCTGCTCCTTTCATTCCTCTCCTGCCTTCTCCTGGGTGGATTCCATAAATGGAGCAGTGGGCTCTGCTGCTGGGCTGCCAAAGGGGCAAAGGGGGGAGCAGGGCTGGGGGGATTTCCTGGGTACAGGAGTGAGAATCTCTGGTGTGGGAAGAGCTGAGTGCTCAGGGACAAGGGCTGCTGTTGGATGTGGAAGGAGGTGGCAGCAACAGGAGGCACAAAAAGCTTCCTTGTGGGAACAGCAGTGGAAGAGGCCTGAAGGAGCTCACTGGAACAGGCAGCCAGGAACCTGAAGTTTGCCTGTAAGGCTTTGTATCTCAACTTTTGTGTTTAACCAGACCTGTGTACCAGCAAAACAGCCTGTGCCTGCCTCTGCACTGGGTGCTGGTAAATCCTGCAGCCAGGACCTTTATTTTCTCCTGTGTGGAGCTGAGCTCTTAATAGTTCAGCAGGTTTATCATTCTCAGGGGTTCAGACTAAGCCAATCTTCTCTCTGATTCTCTGAGAGTGAAATCTTGGATCTGGTTACAGTTACAGATCCCTTATGTCTCTTTTCAGAGAAAACATCAGAATTCAGCACTGCTCTGATTTCCCAGCCAAGTTCTGTAGGTGCTGCAGCCCTGTGGTCACAGAAAATGCATTTCAGAATTCTTACACTGTAAAATGAGACAGTCATTAGTTAAAATCTGAATTGAACCAGAATCAGTCCAGGAAATGAGCCTCACCCTTTGGTCACTGAACCTCCTGACCTTTTTTTTTAGGGGCAGGATGCTCCCTGTCCTTGGCAGAACTGGAATTCCCTCCCTGAGAAGAGGAACTAAAGGAAGGAAACTGGGGAGACGCTGGGTAATAATTACATGGGATCACAAAGGGAAAGAGGAGCTGAGTGAGCATGAAGTTACTAAAAGAAGACACTGATAAAAGAGTGTTTCCAGTGGCACCTCCTGCTTCCTGAGGGAGCCACTGCTGCACTGGGAACAGAATTCCCATCCCTTGGGTGCTGACTTGCTGTGCTATGAGGGGAGCCAAGCCTTGCTTGGCAGTAGCCCTGTCCTAAAGTAATGCAGTTGCTCATGGGCTTTCCCACTTAAAGGCAAACCCTGGATCTTTGTTATTGTTGAGGGACAGAAATGTAACTCATGGCTGTTAATAGGCTCAGCACATTAATGACCTAATTGCCTCCTGTCTGCTTTGGATTAACTTTTGTGCACAAGGAGTTTAGAAATGAAAAAAATAATCCTGTCTGACACACAAAAGGTCCATTTCTAGTAAAACTGTGTGGAAGTGACCATCTAGGGGTGTGCTTCCAGAGTTTCTCCTGGTAAAAGGTCTCTTTACAGTGATACTCACCAACATAGATTGGTCAGATTTGTACTAGAAGGTCCATTTCTAGTAAAACTGTGTGGAAGTGACCATCTAGGGGTGTGCTTCCAGAGTTTCTCCTGGTAAAAGATCTCTTTACAGTGATACCAGCATAGATTGGTCAGATTTGTACTAGAGGTTGTTTTCCAGTGGCTTAAAATTTGGCTCACTCAGGCTGAAACTTGGCAGGAGGGTTGGAGGTTGTAAATACATGGGGATATTTCTATGCCAGACATTTAGGTACAAACCCTGTATTGTAGAATGACATAGACAGAAAAAGACAAGTCTGTCTAAATGCAGTAGAAAATGAATATTTTTCAAGCGCACAAAACTGCCATGTTTGGGCGTTTTTCAGTCCTTTACTGCTGTTCTTGTATTTGCTGAATACACAAGAATCATCTCTGTATGTATTTTTTTTTCTTAAAATTCTATAATTCAGATGTAGCTGGCATAATCTGGGGTTATTTGGGAATCAAAGCACAAAACATCAGCTGAATTTTTAATGCTAACTACTGATCATGTCATAAAAATTTAAACAGGGCTAAATTGCTCAATGGCAAATTTCCTGTGATAAATGAACTTAATAACTTGGAAAACAAAGGTGCTTGGTGATGTAATGACTTGTGTGAGTATTTGGAGGAGGAGCAGGAAAACACTTTAAGAAAGCAAAATGAACTTAATTAGGAAGTGCTGCTGGGGGGACAGAGAGCACAGCTTTCCAAGGGCATTGCCCCTGTGTTCCACCCAGAGATGTGGTGCTCTCCCTGCAGACCCCAGCCTTGGGAGGGGGAAAGTGGCTTGGGGCCAGGTAATGCCATCAGGCTGGTTTGATAAGGGGTGGTTAAAATCTCTAAAACAACTCCTTTAGTCTGAGTGGTGTTACATGTCCTGCAGCACTCAAAATTATTTTTAGGTCTGCAGGAGAACTTTCTGGGAGCCAAATTTCTCCTGGAATAATCTGTATAAGAGGATTAATCTGGCTGTAGTCAAGAATGGGAAAGTACTTAAGGTTTTGCATGACTGGATCCTTGAGATTTGAACCTGAAAGTGTCTACTAATGGGTTAAAAAAATCCCAGAGCTGATGTTTTAATTCCTTTGTTTGAATTCCAAAGTGCTCCAGCAGCAAAGGAGGGATCCCATCACCATGGGCCAGGTGCTATTGTTAGTCATATGATATGTGAATATGTTTTATTTTTATCACCTGTCATCCAGCAAGAGAGAGAGAGTTCAAGTCACAATGCACATTTCTGCTCAGGCATGAACATGAGCCCCTGTGAGGCAAACAGAAAACCTATTAAAAGGTTTCCAGGTGCACATGCAACGAGGGGAAGGAAGGGAAGGTTGGGTTTCACTTGCTCTGAGCAGGGAGTCGTGAGGAACAAGGGAAATAGCTTCACACCAGTGATGTGAAGCACCTCTCATCTCTGGACACTGGGCAGCATCTGCACAAACCTCCTGTCACACCCTGCTCTCGGTTTAGAGACCAGCTCTGGCAACTTTCTTCTCAGAGGTCCTGGAGATGTGTTTTTCTATGGAGAGAGTGGAGTCAAAGGGAGTTTTGTCTGCAGGTTTTAATACATACAAGTAAGAGTTTCCCTGCAGAAGAGCCAGGCAGGCAGGAAAGATTTCTTTTAAGGCATCATACATGATTTTTTGCAGTGCCCAGCCCCTGAGATAGAGCTTCTTTCATTGCACTCTCTCTGTGAGCTTGTGACATACAGTAAAGCTGTTTCCATATGACAGTGTCCGCCACAGCCTCAGCTGCAGTAAATGGATTCTTTTTCTGAACTATCATGGAACAACAGTAGTTTAACTATTTACTGAGATTTCAGCACATATTTTGCATGTTTTCTATGCCATCAGAGTCTGCAAATAGGAAAAAATTTCAGTTTTTCTTGATTTTGAGAAAATATCAATGTTCAAGACAGAATCAAACCATGTTGTAAAAGCACAGGAATCTCCTCTAACCATGTCATAAAACTTTCTGTTTCTTTGGGAAAAGTAAGTTCTGTTACAACTTCTCCAAAAGTCTCCAGTGATGTATTAAAGTCTCCTTACATAGGAAGGATTTGATATAAAATACAGTCCAGGAGCATGAGAGAGAGCAGCTTGTCTTTGGACAGAAGGTTGTTATTTCATGTTTATGATATAGACCTCATAAATTACTCTTAAATGTGGGTTTGCTTTAAGTCCTTTTGTCAGTTTAAATGAACCCGTTTTCCTTTAATGCAAATGTGCTGCCCATACAGTGAAATAACAGGAAGATCAATATTTTAATTCACAAAATAACAACGTGTTGCTTCTCTGCACAGTTACTTTGCAACCTGTTTTAACAATTTATCAAAGCTGGTAATAATTTAAGTAAGTGCTGGTGTACAGGTATCAAATGTAGGGAATGCTTTCCCTGAACAGGTATAAATCTTAAACACATGTTACTGCTGCGTTGCATTTCCCCATCTTTAATCATTGTCTCCTAGCTGTGTTTTCTCTGCAGGTTTGACTTGGCCTGAAGGAGCAGTTGTTATGGCCAAAAACATGTGCACTAAAAATAGAGAGATGTAATGCAACCTGTATTAGTCCATATTAGGAAGCAGCTGTTGAAGAATTAAAGCAGGATTTCAACAATGGGCTCCACA